TAACATAACACGGGCCTGCTTGAGGCCTCAAATCATACCAAATAACATCCAAACTATGAATTACACATCGATTCAAGCTTAATAAACTATTAAACTTCTAACTTCCACATCTGATGCCGAAACCTATCAAATCGTGTCCGATTGACCTCAAATTTTGCACACAAGTCACAATTGACATTACGGACCTACCCCAACTTCTGAAATAGGAATCCAAACCTGATATCAAAAAGTCCACTCCCTATCAAATTTCCCAAAAACCCACAAATTTCCAACTTTCGTCAAATGACCCCGAAATGATCTACAAACCTCCAAATCCACATCCGGATGCGCTCCTAAGGCCAAAATACCATACGGAGCTATTTCCATGCTCGAAATCTCAAACGGACATTGATAATATTGAAATACACTTTAACCCAAATTTATGAAATTCTTCCAAAATGCCAACTTTCCATAATAAGCGTTGTAATGCTTCCGGATCATCCAAAACCCGGTTTGAACATACGCCCAAGTCCAAAATCATCATACGAACCTGTTGGAACTTTCAAATCCCGATTTTGAGGTTGTTTACTCAAAAGTCAAATCCTAGTCAATTCTTCCAATTTAAAGTTTCCGAAATTAGAGATTTCTTTCTAAATCAACTCCGAACTTCCGTGAATCCAGTTCCGACCATACGTACAAGTCATAATACATTAAGTGGAGCTACTCAGGGCCTCAAATCGTTGAACGACGCGCTAGAGCTCAAAACGATCGGTCGGATCGTTACATTAAAAGAGCGAGTTGGAAAGAGTAAGCATGATAAGTGTGGGGTATACCCAAAGAAGGCAGATAAAAAACTTTCTACATGATGTGTGTATTGGGTCGGTCGTGCAAAGAAGATAACGACTTCGATTCCTACCCCGAATAGATGATTCAAGGAAGTTTCCTTTACCTCTTATTTTAATTATATGTCATAGGGACATGTCACAATTTAAAGTGCGGAGTGGGGGGTATAAACTATATACATGTGCATTTGTTTTCTTTTGTTTTGTTTGAAAAGAAAAAAAAATTAACTTTTCCCGTCAATGAATTTCCTCGACTGTCTTCTTGAGGGATCAAAGTCGAAGAGAAAAAAATACTTTTTTTAGCTTAGGTAGTGTAACAATCCCCCCTTGGTTTTTCTTTGTGTCGTGGTTCTTTTCCAAGGGTTTTGCTTGAACCGGATGTAATTAGTTTTTTTTGTTAGGAATAGGTTAGTCTTGTGCTCTGGTGGTAAATAGAGATAATTTTTCTTAACTTTGTTGTGCCTTGAGAGTAGTAAGTTCCTTAATCGTGATGCCTAGGCTTTGTTCTTGACTCTTGGATAAGTGTATGAAATTATTTGAGTTTGATGTTGCTTAACTGCTTTGACTAGGGAGTCGGGTTAGATCTGGTCTTAAGTGAGTTATATGCCAATATGTGTGTGAGGTATTTGTTGATATTCTTTTCATGTCAGTTGATATCTAGAACTTGCCATGTGTGTTTGCAAAGCGAAATGGCAGTCTTGTTCAGTCTAAGAAGGGATATAGGCATTTCTTTATTCAGCCAAATATATGTTTTTACCTACCTAATTGTGATGTATCTTATTTAGCCCCGTTGATCTTGTAATCATATGTCTTTGACAACACACTACAAGTCCGACCCCTTTTGTTTGAATTGACTATTTATTTGAACTTTTTACCTCTTTTTAGCACTTGAATTTGTATGAGCTTGTTAAAAGCTAAGTTGAGGTATGGTTAGGTATTTGAGTAAAACTATTGATAAAGGAGAAATGTGCATTATTTGAAAAATTGTGAGAGCCACTTATAGGGGATTGAAAAAAAATTGAGTTTGCTTGGGGAAAAAAAAAAGAAAAATCAAAACTTTAAAGTGAAAAAAAGAGAGAGTTTGTATATTTATTAGAGTATATGTATTATAAAGAAGAAAAATATTGATTCCTTGCTAGTGGTAGTGCTCATCTTGTTTGCGCTTAAAGAATTGGGAGCTTGATGCTATTATGTGTGAAGGTTGGGGTTTGGTTCAACACAAGTATGGGGTTTAAATTATTTATGTATATGTATTAAAGTTCTTATATCCAAATGTATCTTGCCCGTCCCGTAGCCTACATTACAACCAAATAAAGTCCTACTTGATCGTTGACTGAATGAGCTCAATTAGTAGAGTATTACACTATGGGCAAGCAAATGGTGTGTCTTATGTGGTACATGAATTTTAATTCTGAGAGTGAGTGACATCCGGGGCTCGTGGACCGGCGTTGCATATGAAAGTTGGAAGAAAGTGCATGGGCTGGAGCAAAATATACCAGTGCGTCCATAAGGCATGGCATTAAATGTAGCACTAGTATAAAAGTTCGTCAGAAGTTCAGAGACTTGGAGCTTTTGGGTCTAACGGAAAAATACAAAAATGTGACGCAGGGCGCGTGGTATAGTGCGACGCATTAGTATAAAAGTTTATCAAACAAGCTAAGTTCAAAGAGTTTACAACCGAGAAAATTACACTAATTTTTCGATGTAGGGTGCGTAGTACTGTGCGACACATAAAGTGTAAAAGTTTACAGGTTTTCCCACTTCGGCTCAAGGAAGGTAATTTTGTCCACGCACATTCCGACTTAGTATGAATACACTAGAAATACGTTTTTAGAGGACTTTTGACCTTGGAAGCTTTTGGAGAGCATTGGAGGCTACAAGACACAAGATTTCATCATCTTTCCATCAATTCAATACGGAAGTTTGGATTATAACTTTAGATTCATATTTTCTTTCTCTTTAGTTATATTTGTGATGACTTCCTCCATGATTATGGAGTAGTTTCCCATAGGGTTTGACGGATATAGTATTTTGATTTCTATTTGTGAATTTTAACTCTAGTTCTTTGCTTGAATTTGTTTATGGAGCTTTGAATTGTTTGCAACTTTATTCACCACTTTATTTAATCGGAAGAGGAATATTGTGGTGATTATCTTGCATCATTTTATTTGGTTTAATTCAGTGATTCTCTTAAGTAATCGAAAAAACTTGTTGAATTGATGATTAAATCATGTTAGAAAAATATTCGTCAGACGTTTTCCTGAAAACTAATCCATTAACGCATGCTTGCATATTTTCACAATGCTGATATTAGTTCACCTCGTAAAGTTAAGATTTAATCGAGAGAGGAGTCTTGACTACACGTTTGAACTAATCATCGAGTGAATTCGTGAGAATCATTAGAGTTGGGTCCCAAAGAGCTATCTTGCGCCTATCTTGTCACGACTCTTATTTCTCCCATCGATATTACGGGGTTAGTCAAACATTGTCTTCCAGTGATCAATTGTTAATTGTTTTAGTTTTATAGTTAATTTTAGTTATTAATCATCCCAACCAACGTGTTAATCATCATGAATAGCATTAAGCTAGAAATTATTTGAACATTATTTCAATCTAATCTATGTGAAAACGATAATCATAATTATACTATCTTTGGCTAGCGAGCATTAATTTTATTTGGGCACGTCACACATCCAAATTTACATAACAATTTTTAATGTAGAAAGTCTCGAAATCTGTATATCCCTAGTTATAATTACGTGAAGGATTTCAAGAAGCAGTCCACAAAAGAAAAAGTTTGAACATAATTTTAACTTAATTGAACTAAAAAGCGTTGATGTTGAAATAAACAATTAAAAACTAATGGATGTAAATTAATACTGTAACTTTTAAGATCATGATACCCTGGTCAAACGGATGTTTGCATCGTCTACTATAATGTTGCCACGTTTCCTGCCAATTAAGATAATTCTCTGGTCTTTGCACAACAAAAAAAAACGTTATTTCTCTGGTCAACTTTTTGACCAGGTGAATCCTATACTCGATCTATCAGTTTTTACTGATCTGTTAACGAGCGACGGAGGCAGGATTTCCCTAAGAAATTAAAAATATATATATATATAACTAGTGAGAATTGAATCAATAATCTTACAACGGTTTTGAACTCCTTGACCATTAAATTATGCTTTGGACTAGGTCACGAGAATTCATAACATAGTATATAAAAGTAAAAACAGATTTTGTCTTATATATAGAGTATAATTTTTCGGCGAAAGGGGTTCGTCTCTAATTTTTCTATTCTAATTTTTATCTTACCAGATCATGCTAAAAATAGAAAGAAAAAGAGCGAGAGAATAGTTTTAAGATTATCAGACTCCGTTTAAGAGACGATATTTTGTTCGTTGGAACGTTGTCATTTTCTTTCTTTTTCTCAAACTAGAATGTATCACCATGAATTTAAGAAATGGACGTAATTAGTTGTCATGATGATAATTCCAATAGGATGACCATGACAACTGTAAATAGTAGTAGTAGCTTATGGCTTGAATCTAGCACTACGGCTGGTAATAGGGAGCCAGTTAGGCCCCGACTCTCTGTACGTATTCACTAGTAATATATGTTATCTTTCTGAACCAAAAAAAAAAACAAATTGAATCATATTTGTAGAACTAGTACAAATTATACTACCACCAGGGACAAAGCTATGTATGGTCAAGGGTAGTCAACTGAACACCCTACATCGAAAAATTATACTTTATATAAGATAAAATAGTACGTGTTATTGAGTAAAAAATAGGCTTTGAACACTTTGCATAGCTAACTGGCAAAGGATATTCAAAATTTGAACACCCTTATTGAATTTCGTTGCTTCCCCACTGACTATCACAAGTACAAGCCAATTTAAGTTTTCAAATCAAAAATTACAAGTGACACAACAACAAGAACAACAATAATAATACATAATAATAATAATAATAATAATAATAATAATAATAATAATAATAATAATAATAATAATAATCTCAACACAATAACAATACCAACGATGCAAGAATTAAGCAGCTAAAAATTCCAATTATTTTTCTGAGCCCGACAGGCGACATGGTTGGATGTAATAAGTCAAAGAATGTTACTACTCCTACATTACAAGGAAGTAGGTAGTATATAAAACCGAACAAAGCACCCATCCCTTTTTAAAAGATTCTTCCTTTACCTTACAAATAACTTTATAAGATTACGCATAGTTTTTCCATGGATGCTGATCAGTCCAACTCAGACTCTTTTTCATCATCAAATCTAAGAATCATTGTCCAGAAAAACCCTTCAGAAGCCCAACTCTCTGAATTAGGCATAAAATCTTGGCCAAAGTGAGTACTTTTGTATATTCTTTGGTTTATAACTTTCATTAAACAAGTAATTTATTAGTCTAATGAGTTTTTCTTTTGATGTTTATATATAAACAGATGGGGTTGTTCACCAGGGAAATACCAATTAAAACTTGATGCAGAAGAGACATGTTATTTGTTGAGAGGGAAAGTCAAAGTGTACCCAAAGAACTCAACAGAAACATCAGTGGAGTTTGGAGGAGGAGATCTTGTGATTATTCCAAAAGGACTTAGTTGCACTTGGGATGTGTCCCTTGCTGTTGATAAACACTACAAGTTTGATTCTTCTTCTTCCTAAAACCATTACTATTACTGTTTCGGATTTAAGTTATAGTATGTACTAATAGTATAAATTATAATTTCTATTATTTTTTGGTTTGCTCTCATCAAACTACAGCTGAAATAATTTAACTTAAAGAGATTGTTATCATTTAATGTATTATTTCACCATCTTGGTTTTTTTTTCTATTTTCTTTTTTTTTCTATTTCAAGTAGTAGTAGTAGTAGTAGTAAGTTTTACGTTTTGATTATTTGGCAATTAATCTTTAATGGGTAGTGAAAAGAAAAAAAAACTTTAAAATATTTCTTTGACTGGTCAACTCCTTCATATTTATATCACGTAAGCACATTACATTTTGTCAGCAATGATGATTTTTGCTTGAATTAGGTGTATGGTTCAGGTGGTGAATCAAAGTAATATTTAATTGATGGGCTTGAGTTTGCTACTATAGAATATATTTTATTGTTTTAAATTGCTGCATGAACATACCTCTCACCTAGTCATATAATTGTCTGAATTTCAAATCAAGTGCAAGATGTTACAACAAACTCAGTCAACAAGATGTTACAATTTAAAGAACACTTTAAAGAAATGGGGATGCAGTTTCGCCACTTCTTCCTCAAATAAAACTACAATTTACAAACTTCAATTGAGACAGAAAAATAGCCTCCAGATGGTTCATTCCATGAAAGTGAAGCGAAGAGGGAAAAAAAAGGAGAATTTTCCCCAGCATTTCATAGGCTAAGCAACGTCTTCATACTCTTCATTATAAAAGTGAAACTTATTAGCATCCAAAATGGAGCAGGGTGGGAAATCAACCCTGCCCTTGTACAAATACAAGGAGTCAAAATTCTTCTCACTACCTACCCTGTGGAAGGGATCGGGAAAAAATCAACAGTGGCAATTTACAGGGGATCGACACGCCAAAATTTGGAAAAATATCGAGCGGAAAACTATCAGATTTACATGGCAAACGAAAATCTTAACTGAGAAAAATTCCCATTTACATACAACAGCTTACTCATTACTATCTACTTTGAACGTTAGGCCCCCATATGCGAATAGTTTGATCATCACTCGCTGAAGCTAACATATGAGGCCTTTTAGGATTCCAGCTCACACAGTTCACAGTCATTGTATGGCCACACAAGATCTCAATAGGCTTTGAACCTCGACGATTCCATATATACACCTGTTACAACTCGAACATCATTTCCTTGCATCGATATACAAAATGAAGGAATCGGCTCTACCAAATATCGGAATTCACACGCATGAAAAATAATATGCTGAATCATGCATAGATATGATGTAGCTACTTTGCAAACAGATGCAGTCTAAGACAAACAACCAACATATGAAATGAGACTATTAAGCTTAAAGAAAAGTAGTGTCCAACAAATCATTCACATTAAAGTTTGAAGTTCTGGAATTTCATGCTTATTTGTAGTATTATTTTTTTCTTTTTCTTCTTTTGATGGTGGGGATTAAAGAACAAGCATACCTTTGAATCTTCACTACCACTGGCAATGAAAGTGCTATCCAATCCTCCGAAACAGGAGCGTATCACGTACTTATGTTGTCTGTGGCCTTTATATTTCATGGGACTAAGCCACTCGCCTGCAACATCCCACATATGGATCTCTTGACTATTAAGGTTTACTATGAAGAATTTACCATCCCCTGATAACGAAAGGGATGTGATTGGATGCTCCTCTGGAATCACACGTTCAGCACCTGTCCCCACATTCAAT